TAGTCAGACAGAGATAGTAATGGGCTTACTGGAAGTGGCAAATCAAGTAACGATTTTCATTTAGATCGAGGTGACTTGTCCCACTAGCTTATCTGGATGTGAATACAGGGAAATTTTTTTGCAGTGCATTATAGCAAATTATAAAATAAATAAGTCAGGTCAGTAAACTGCATCCCACCTTTCCTCTTTGTATTATCTTCGTATGCTTCCCTAATGCTTAATATACCCATTATTAATAGGTGTAAGCCCTCTGTGTAAAAGTTTGCTGAGAAAGCGTATTTGGATGGTATCTCCTGGGAGGATGCTGTGCTCCCAAAATGTGCTTGGGATAGCAGTGATTTACAGCATTTCTCTCCCTTTCAAACTAAATGGGGATATTTGTCATATCCCCGTTTATCTCCCCTTCTGCCCTGCCTCTGATCACCTCTTCTGTTTTTGTGGCAGACGGGAAGTGTCCTCTCCCCCAGGAAGGCTCCTTTGGAGGCAAACTGAAAAGGGAATGCATCTTCCCAGTGGAAATCTGGGCTTAATTCAAATATTGATCTAACAGCTGAAAATTAGTGCTTCGCATCCCCTGTAAATGACTAAAAACCTTCTATTTAATGTCACTTCTAAATCAGGAATATCAAGTCTAATGAACTGTAGAAGTGCAGTTAATTAAAACAGGCTAAGAGGTAAGAATCATTTTCCTTTTGTGCCTGAAGGATCAAATGTAAGAGGCTGGTTGATGCTACAAAGCGAGGTAGCTGCTGTAAGGAGTCTCACAGAAACTCAGCATTCTGCAGGTTATGAAATGTGTGCAAGGAAGGGCAGCTGCAGCGAGTGAGGCTGATGAGGGATGTGGGATGGGAATTGTTACTGGAATGGGGAAGAGCAGAAATAAAAACTGGTCAGGAACATGGGGAGCATCAGTAGGGGCTTTCTTAGCAAAGCAGCTTTACTAAAGAGTTTCAGTTTGGCCAATTTTCTGTCTTTTCTACATACATTTGTGGTGTTTTGAGAACACTTACGTTATCAAAATAACAAAATAATAATTCAGTTAAGATCATTACCATAACTTTTAACATTGGACATGATTTATTATGTTCTCCCAGCATCATGAAAACATACAGATTTAATAAAGAGGAAGAACATAAGCAAATAGCTGAATTAACCTTTAAAGTGTGTAAGAAAGATACTGCCTCCTGTAGGTTATATTCTGCTATTTTTGCTTATTATTTGATTCAATTGCCCAGATGTACATCTGCTTCTGAAACTTTTCTATTTACTGTGCAGTTAGTTACTGCTGAATAATGTATTCACTGTTCTTTTTTTTTGTTGCTGCTGCTTGTTTTTTCTCTTGTAATACACATGAAAATCCTTATTTGAGACAAGGGCACGAACCTGTGAGCCTTGTTGCAAGAAGTTTGTGATATCTTTTAAAAATAGGTGGGTAGATGGAAGCAGAAGTTGAACTTGGACATTTTGCATAGCATCCCCTCCAATAAATTTTCCTTGTTGTCTGATACCTGCTGTGATGCTCCTGTAAAGACAAAATGGTGTGAACTGAAAGTAATCTGACATCGTGGTATTTCCTGTAGTAATCTTGGCTGCATTTCTTTTGCTCCCTAAAAAACAAATTTTGCTACTGACAGACAAAAATCAGTATTTTTTTTTTCAGTTGTGTTAAAAAAATATGTCTGGGAAAATAAGGATGTATAGCGATCTCCTCAACTTGGAGCCTGAGTCATGCTGTAGTTGACGTTAACTGAGGGCCTTGCAAGCTTAGCAGGAAGTTCGGCTGCAGCACCACTGAGTTGGGTAGATACAGAAATTTCAGAAATGTAGCAACACAGTTTTGCCAGTGTAGAAAAGCGTCCAAATCATATTTCTAGCAACGTTTCTGGACATTAGGTATAGATTTTTTTTTTTTAAGTGGCTTCTGTCAAAGTTCAGTTTTGTATAAAAAATTGCCAATGATGCTTTATTCAGAGAAAAATTACTGACTGCAGAAACTTCAATTAATTTCAAAATATTATTCAGCATCAAAGTGTTTCTTTGCTGTATAATAAAATGCAGCATGGAAGGTACCTGTGCAGCTTTAAGAGTAATTAATCATGCAAATGGTATCAGGGCTTGACTTTCTTTGTCCTCTTCTTCCTGCCCTTTAACAGCCGTCAGCTTCCCAACGTCCACGTTACTGGTCTGAAAAACTGCCTTGTCCCACACTAACATCAGCGAGCTCTCCGTCACTAGGGATGACCCGTTCTCATTTTTGTTGTCTCTTTTGCCTTTCTCATGTGCTCCTTCTGTGCTCATCGGCTTTTATAAATATCCAATTTTACTTTTTTACTTTTCTCCTCAGTGGCTGTTAGAAACTGTTGTCTGGTGTCCTGTCACTAAATATTTATAAAACACAATGCATTTTTGGTGTAATTGGAGGGAAAAGTTGATTGTAATAGTGTCCTATAATGAGGGGGAAAGCTGCTCATTTTTGTGCTAGTAAAAGCCAGCCAAACTTTTCCTCTTCAAAGAGAAATTATAAGGGAAAAAAATGCTGCTAAAAGCCACCAAAAGATGTCGGGAGGCTGTGTACCAAATTAATCTGTGTCAAGGGATGGCAACTGAGAGACATCATTTTGCAGGAGAACTTGCTCATCTTCTGTTTGAATTTGTAGAGGTTGAGGAGGTGTTCGGGGGTAGGAACGGGGAAGGAGAAGGGATAAAAGTACAGCGTTTTAGGAGTTCCCACTATATTGCTGCAGTCACTCTTTGCTTTATTTATGAGCCTATCAGACCCAAATGCATACTCACTCTTACCAGTGACAAACTGGCAAGTCAGATATAAAAATGAGAGATTTTTTCCCTTAGCTGGTGACTAAGGTGTCATTGATCTCCCTTAAACTAACATTAATCTTACAAAGGCGGCAAGAGGCTTGTAGGTCTTCCATGCAGGTCGAAGGCGGTAAATTGGAAAACAAAAAGTGATGTATTTTGTGCATATTCCCTATTGCAGGGCATGTTTTATAACATTGTGGCTGCGAGGCAATGATGACTCATTGAACTAAAGTTTTGTGTTTGGAGCACAAGTGTGTGCCCTTTAAGGGACCTCGCTCCGGAAGGAGGTGAAAACATAAGTGATGAGAAAACTCCACTGCTGTTACTGATGATATCAGGGTATCTCAGTGTTTACTGCCTTCAAGGAAAGGTCGTGTTAGCTTTAGTACTGCACACGTGCTGCAGTGGCGCTGCAGTCAGCTGAAGCGATCCTGTCCTCACTCCATAAACCTTTTATGGACACCTGGGTGCTATTTCCCCTGTATATTTGGAAAACTCGTCCTCTAAGAGCATGTGCTAATTATTGGGCTAGTCAATAATGGCAAAAGACACCTCATGGAAACATGGAAGTTAAGGAGGAACAATCCCCTGTGTGTTCAGGGGAGCTGGGCCTGTTTAGCCTGCAGAAGAGAAGGCTGAGAGGGGACCTGATCAGTGTCTATAAGTACCTCAAGGAAGGCAGTGAGGAGGATGGTGCTGGCCTCTTTTCAGTGGTCACATGAACTTAGAGGTAAGGGCCGCAGACTGAAGCATCAAAAGTTCCACATGAACTTAAGGAAAAATTTCTTAACAGTGAGGGTGACAGAGCACTGGAACAGGCTGCCCAGAGAGGTTGTGGAGTCTCCTTCTCTGGAGATCTTCAAAACCCGCTTGGACGCAGTCCTGTGCCACGTGCTCTAGGTGACCCTGCGTGTGCAGGGGGGTTGGACTAGATGATCTCTAGAGGTCCCTTCCAATCTTGAGCATTCTATGATTCCGTGGTGTGAAAGGCTTTTCATGATGCTGTCTTGAAAGGAAAGGGCAAAGTTTGTTTACTGTGTTGCAAGCCGCAGTGTCCAGAACAATTCATTGAGATGATTTATATCCACATACCTGTTTGGAGGGTGTGAGACGTGGGGGGAGGCAGGGCCTTTGCAAACTTGCTTTGTTGTGACACGGAGAGGCGAAGCTGCATGGCAGCAAGCGGGTGACAGCCTGGATGGGGCTGTGCCCGCAGGCAAAGAGCACCTGCGTGTCCATCAGCTGTGGCCTGCTGGTGGGAAATACGGTGCCAGTGCCTCAGGAACAGCCCCAGGGATGATCCGTTTTGCTTTGTCTTCCCTCAGAAATAAATTGCTTTCAGCTCCTTGGCCTGCAGGGGAACAGCCTAAAAGTACTGCCTGAAGAAGGTGAGGGAATGAGATGCTGATAAAGTGCTGGGTCAAGGTTAATTTGAGGTATGTAAATAAATGTGTGTGAATGTGTAAAGTCTTCTGTCAAGTAAATTCTGCTCAAGGGGGGAGTTGCTTACAGTTAAATCTCCAGTCCCCAGGTAAAAGCTTGGTCCCTTGGGACTGATATCCTTCCTCTGCACATACTGACTGCTTTTTAATATCTAAACAGACAAGACCGAACTACCATGTCTTGACCATGTCTAGAGATGTATGGAAACAACTCTGTATGTGTCCATCAAGCAGACCTGTGTCAGAGGCATTTTCCAAGGGCATGAGTGGGACGTCCGTGATAGGATGAAGCTTTCTTAATGGTAGCTGTTGTTTTGGGGACTTTTTTTCTGCACCACCTTCAAGTAAAAATATTAAAGAGTAATGAAAATACTGCACTATAATACTCTGTGTTTGCCAGTAGTAACCTGAAAATGTCAGTAATGCATTGCCAGTGAATAATCTGAGTTTGTTCTGCCAGTAATGTCAATGTGTGAACTACCTAACATGGAATGGCTTTTCTTACCACATTTCATTTTAATTCTCTATTCCTGTACTGTACCTGGAATTATAGGAAGGCATAGTTGGCTAAGTAGGAATATAAACTGGTTTATGGAGGTTAATACTGTAAACCAGAGTTTCAAGGGGGAAAAAAAAAAGGGCAGTGTAATTGGTGAGAGTTGCGAATCTTTTCCAGATCCACCAGGGTATCCTGGATGTTTCTGCACCAGACTTCTGGCCGTGGGAGGAGTATTTGCGATGATGCAGTCAGAGGTGCTGCGCATGCGGCAGGGAGGCCGCGGAGGCAGCGCGCGGCCGTGCACAGGGTGGCCCGGGCCAGGCGCCGCCGCTGTCCCCGCACCAGCGCGTCTGGTCGCTTTGGAAGTAGAAAGTGGGTTTAAGGTTCAATTTAAGGTACTGAATGGATAATACATGTTCCAGGCATGTTACTAGCAAACTCACAAAAAAGTAGTTTGGCTTTTGGCCTCAACGAAATCTGACAGTTTTTTAGCAAGACTTCACAAAAAGAACAAAGATTTTAAAAAACAGAAAGATATTTCTTTGCATAATGCAGTCACTTAAAAGAAAAAGAGAGGTCGTTATTAATTATTTCTTTGTGGCATTCTGTGGGAGTACTGATTGCAAAAGCACATACTGAACATTTCCAAGAAATTCATGTAATGAACTACCCTAGTTAGTCTTGGCTTTTTGTACTCTTTTTGTAGGAGGTTTATATGGTCATCAAGTCCAGCTCTTCTGTTTCAGGGAAACTAAAGCTTTGCTTTTTCAGCCAAGCTAATCGTTTTGAGGTACCATGACAATTACTGTAATGGGAGAGCAAAGCCTTCCTTCCTAAAGACCTGGTGAGCCTGTGTGGGAGAGGAATGGAGAATAAGGTGAATTAAATGAGCTGATAATGCCTGTCACTTAACGAGCCTGCAGTGGGAGCTGAATTTAGTTTAGAAACTGTTTTAAAGTGGGTGATCCAATCTGACATGCACAGCTCCGTGTATCCAGTGGCTTTGAACAGCTATCGGCTCTGAGGCACAGGTGTGAATTCCTCTTCTAGCTCCTTTTCCCTTTTTAGTTTCAGAGCTGATTGAAAAGGCTTTTGAAAACTTGGCTTCCTCAGCAAAGCAGTTCAAGTTCTCTGTAATAGTGTTGAATGCAAGATTAATTATTTTCCTGCAGTAAGATGTTATATTGAATGTAACTTAATTCTGATGGCTTACTGCATGGCTTGCTCGTGGATGTTTGCATGTAATTCCCCCTTCTGAAAGGCCATACATAATAAAAGAGCTGCTGTTTTGGCATACACAGCATATTTCAAAGATTTTTTTTAAACTGTATTAACTTATGTCTTGCATATGTAATAACTGATTGTGGAGCAAAATATCAGCTTGTAATTCTATTTGTGTATCCCATGAACTGCATAGCTAGTAGTTCACTGAGTAGGAAAAGCAAGCTGGTCTTGTAAAACATCTGAGAAATCTCATAGCTTTCTCCATAGAAGTGTTTTCTGGAAGCACCACTGAGTGCTTCTAAATGCTGAAACAAATTTCAAACAAGGAAATCAAATCCCAGTACTGCAGTCTATTTTTCTGAAGCATTTAAGGGCATGTAATGTATGCACGTGTATAAGTAGGAGAGACTTTAGCTTCAATTTGGAATGATTAAGAAAAATCACAAAGAGAAATAGAACTAGTCCAAAGATGAGCAAATGGCTGAAATGTATGGTTACCAGAAGCATGCATATTGTCCCCAAGTAAGTGGGATTTTGGTGTGTAAGTACATATAAAAGTATCTATCTTTTTTTTTTTTAATATGAATCTTGCAGTGACATAAAAATTGGTAATACACCCCAAACAAGGCTTCACTCTACATATTTGCATCTCTATTTCCCAGATGAGCTGAATGAAAGAAAAATAAAATGACTTTCCAATTTTAACACAGGATGTATATGGACTGCAATGTGGGTTGAACAGAGGCTGGATGAAAGTAACTCTCCAGGAATATAGCAGTGAAAATAAGTACCAAATTCTATCTTTTTGGCGTGTTTGCATATAGATAAATTCGAGTATAGCTTTGGGGTAGCCTACAGAACTGTAACAGAACATGGTTCTGTCACATTTTCCCAAAGAATTTTGAGTGCCAAATCGAAGTGAAAACAGTTATGTTAGCTTTTTCAGTTTTTTAGTTTTCAATTTTGAAAGCTCATTTTAAGAAGAAATTGAGGAATGAAAAGAGAGGAAGTCAAGTTCAATTTCTTTAAAATTAGATTTTCTTAGATTTAGCCCAGAAAGACTCATTCAATTTAAGAATAGCTTGGAGACAGCTCTGAATTTATGCCTTAATAGAATACATATGGATATTAAAATGACAAAGAGAGAGATCCTTTTTCCCACTGCAAATGGTTGCTTTTATTTGCTAGTAAGAATTGGAATAAAGATATGTGTGTTCTGTCTCCCAACAACTTCATTATTCTTGCTGAGCTATTAGATGCAGATATTCTAACAGCTTAAGTACTTTCTAAAATGATCTTACAAGTGCTTTTCTCCAAACAGGATTATTTTGATTGGCAGTCTGGTCTGAGTTTTGATTATGTAATTGTTAACTGAGGTACTTCCTAGGATTGACTGGAATATATGCAACTCATTGTACTTTGCTTTTAGTATAAAATGGACATAGGTTTAACTTACTCGGTAATGCTAGAGGTATAAACTGATTTGAAAAACAATAAATATTGTCGAATACATTTTGTAGTAGCAGAATAGTTTAATCATAGTGGTTTAAGGCTATCAGGTGAGGTTTGGTGTTCTGGTAAAAGATTGGAGACTTGACTTGTGCTGCCCTTTGGTTTGGCTGCATCGGAGGCACTGCCCATCCTGCAGTGATGCTGTGTGAGCCTCCAAATGAGGCCAGCTTTGGAGCTGGGTAAGGGTAAGAGCTTGGGAAGAGGGAGCTTGAGGCCAGTTCAGTGACTTCTGCCTTATGGTGCTCCCTGTGTCGAAGATACACCCTGGCTACTTAGTATTTTCTGCTATGGGATGTACTGAGTGAACTACTGCAGGGTATCCCTTGCTGCTGAGCTTTCATCAGATATTTAAGTCATATTTCTATGACCATGGTACAGCCTATGCTTAGGAAGCATATACTGAATTTTATTTGTATTCACAATTAATCCAAACTGAATGGCTGCCACTGTTTTCTCTGAAGCATAATGAGCAATCTTTTGGAACAGTTTTTTAAATTTGGTTTTATTTCATGTAAAGTTTAGATACTTAAGTGAGAGTTGTGTGCAAGTTTCTGAAATTGAAATCTTCCCCTCCAGAAGGCGTTCTGCAGAATAAAGCCACGTAGTGAATTCTTTTCACTTACTGGAAGTCACTGCTCACAGCGAGCTGAAAAAATATTTCAGAGAAAATAAGCTTCAAATCTATACTTGCTGCCATGGTTCTAGAGGGGTGATGACCTGTGACACGAGGCTGCAAATAGCTTGCAGTTAACAGCTGTGAAATTAAATGAAAACTCATTATTTGTATATGAAAAATAAGTCTTAAGTGGGACATGGATGAGATACTTCTGCTACCAAAAGATGTTCTACAACAAACATGACCAAACAAGAATCAAAGGGACAGATGTAGAGGTGCTCTCCAGAGGCATTTACTACACGGTACAAAGTGTCGTTATGCTTATTTGGCCAGATCATCTCACTGGTTACTTGATTTACCTGGTGAGAGTAATTGCTGGGTTTTATGTGGGGAAACCATTGAGGTACAAAAACAGAGCATCACTTCACTGGCTTTCAAAACACCATTATGTAAATACACAGTAATGAGTTCACCCCAGGAGAGAGGATTCAATGAGTTTTTTATTCCCTCCCCTTTGATCATATGCACTGTCTAAATTTAAACTTTAGATTTGTCATTGGCGTGACTTTTTTATTATAGACAACTATTGGGACTTAATCAATGCAAAGAGTGCTAATGGACACTGCCATCTTTGCAGCCTAACCTCGATGCCTGGCATGAGACATCCATGTGAGTAGAATGATGGTGCATTTTGATGCTCTGACAGCCCATAGTCCTCAGGGACACTTGATAAGGCATCTTTGAAATGTTATGTAGCAACTTTTTCATATCCCTTGTCAGTTTTAGATAGTTCTTTTCTGTTTAGTTAAATTAATTTCCCTTTTGACATATTCTCAGAAGTATAGCGCTACTCCATAAAAATGACATTATTGGGTCCTATATATTTAATTCGGTAACTAAAATGTCAAGTATATTTACTATTGCTAGTGTTGCTTGATAAACCCCATCTCTGATAGCTCAGGTTGGAATGTGAGAGCTACATTTTCGTTGGCTCTTTTTTTCTTCAACTTCACTGATGCACAAAAGCTTCTACCACGGAAATTACACTGCTACGCTTGTAGAGGTATAACTGACCAGAACTTATTCAACAGCTGTTCTGGGCACGTCCAGAAAGGAATAAAAATCAATTTTCTTTCCCTCAGTTGGAAGAGCTGTATATGGGAATTTATCATTTAAACTGAGATACGGCTGATTCTGCTTAAGGTTCAAATCTGTCCCACAGTTCGTTATGGTCTGTCTATATAGCACAGTCTGCAGGACTCACTAAGCTGCACGGCAGCAAATCCCCTGCTCTTAATCCTTGAGCTGCTGCCATTAGAGACTAGACCTAGTCACACAAATCAGTTGGAAATTATGGGCTTAAGTATTTCCAACCGTGTTACATTTGATAATAATTTAAAAAACATATAAAACTTCAAAGAACGCAGGTTTCCAGAGGAAAAGGGCGGCAAAGCACAGTTTTGAGTGAGCCTTCCTCCAAGGCGAGGAGAACAGATCCGGTGACTGCTGGGCCCCAGGGCACCTTGGCGGCCATTTTAGGTCTGCTGCCCGCGCTGTGGGAACTGCCTGCAGCGCTGCCCCTCGTGGTGCCACCCAGCCTCTTTGTGCCTGGAAAAGGCGCCTCTTCCTCTCAGACCGTGGTGGGAATGGTCAGAGATGATTTGCATGCCACTTTTCCTGCTTTTGGTGCCCTGGCTGAGCACCATCTGATTCTGGTGTCTGAAATACTGAAGATGGCGGCTGTTTTCCTGCAGCTTCTCGCGAGGTGGGCCGCAAAGCACGCCAAGCCTGTCAGAAACTGCTCCTCACAGAGCAAAACTGGGTGCTGGAGGAGAAAAGGTGAGTTTGGACCAAGTCTCTAGAGACTCAGTTGTATGTCTGAGGCCTTTTTTGTTTGCTTTAGTTATTCCAGTTAAAGCCCAATGGCTGTGTATTAATCTGCAAGGTCCCTTGCATAGTCAGCTCTTCCATACTGTCTGTGTTCATCCTCACTGAGGAAGGGAGGAACTTGTTCAGCAATTTTGTGAAGGATTGTGAATTTTGTGGGATCTTTTTTTCCAATCCCATATTCCCTGAGCAAATATCTTGTGAGAACAACTTGTTGTCTGATATAGCCGGGTAATAAAACAAGCTATTAAAACCGGCCATGAGCTGTAGCATAGTTATGGATGGGTAACATTGCCAGGATCATAAAGAACTTATCTTTTCATGTTCAGGGAGTGGGAGAAAAACCTTGGTCTTTATTATAGAGAGCTTTTTTTTTTTTAGTGGAAAATTTGTGTTTGCATAAAAGAATTCCACATGTATCCATCAAAAAAAAGTAGTGAGGAACCTCTTCTTCTTTTTTGCCTAGCTTCTCTAGTCTTCACTGTCTAAGATGAAATCCTTTGCATAGTTGCCAAAATTGTGTCAAAAATGATGTGTGGTAAATCAGATAAGGAACAAGGGAGAAGAAGCGACGTGTGGGCGGCTGGCGCAGCCAACGAGCAGGGAAGACGCCGGTTGCCTTCCTGCTTTGCGAGACGCCTGCATCGCTTGAGCATTGCTGGGGCAGGCTCAGTGAGTAAAACCACTGCCTAGGGCTTCCTGGGGAGCCCCTTGGCACAGACCACCCAGCACTGAGGCTTACCAGAAGGTAGCAGCTTTGATGTGATCATTGCTGAGTGGATTTTGCCATGGAAGTAAAAGAAAGTTCACATAGAAATGACGCTGAATTCTTGGGTATTATCCCTTTAAGAACCTCCTGCGCGATTTAGCACTAAATGCCATAAGAAACTCAGACACCTATGGTATTTGGCAGGGTAATGTCCAATTTTTGGCCCTGTGCCCTTTGAAAGGAATCCAAAAAGCAATAAGCTTTTTGTGTAGTACGTGGAAAGAGATAGGGCCTCCGAGAGAAGAATGGAAGAAAAAATTCTGCTTGCTGAAAGAGGAAATGCCTAGAGGTAGCCAGAGAGACACTAAGTACTTTATTTCCAACTTGGAAAGGATTTGATTCTTGCATATAATTCATGCAAACTAAAGAAAATAAAGCTCTTTGGTTTTAGAATTTGAGAATATTTGCTGCACAACTGGAAGGATCACCAGGCCCATTAGATGGAGGGAGGCTGGCTTTTCAGAGCAGGTCACGTACTTAGCAGGGAAGGAGTTCAGCATCTTCCTACGGCAGAGCCAGTATCCTGCTTTTCCATCCTCAGTCTCAATTGCTTAACTCAACAGAGGAAGAGTCTGGTGAAAACATTTCGAAAAAGCCAGCGAGAATTGATGGGTTCTTCCAGAATAGTGCCCTATACTGAAAAATTAGCATTTCCTGTGGCTTATGGTCCTGCCCTTGGTAGGTACTCTTTTATTTTCTTGTGTCTGGGTAGGAATTAGGAATGATTGTACTGCTGAAGGCATGTAATAAAATTTACAAGAAATAGTCCTGCAGTGTGTCTTGGTCAGGGTTTTTGCAAAATCTTGAGCCTTTGAGATCTCATGTCATATTTGCCTTTCAGTCTTTATTAATTTTACTTCATTTAATTAAAGCAAGAAAGCATGAAAACAGAAATGTGGAAAAAGCTGTGTCTTGCTGTCTTTGATTGCTTTTTAACCATTATTTTTGGAGTTCTCTCTTCTGGATATATCTTTGCTCACATTAGTGGGAGAAAATGATTTGTTTCCTATATAAGCTAAAAATTTTCTACTGAATAAAAATTTTTCTTATGGGTCCTATATGAGTAACATCTCTGTGTATCACTTCAGAGGCATTAGCTGCTCTGGCTACATTTAGGGCAGGGACATGGCTCAGTAATGTGCAAATATGGTGGTTTATATGGAAATATTCCATAAAAGTTGTGCTTTCCCTGTGTTTAGTACTTGAAAACCTTGTCACCATATGTAAATTATCTCTTTTGAATTATTTGGAATATTTTAAAATACCCCTTGGAAAATCTGCTTCTGCTCATAGTCAGTGCATATAAACATGAAGGTTTTCTCTGTGATGTCTATTTACAATATTCATCTTTTCTGACTGTCCAGGAATATGTGTCTGGAGCTGCTGGGGGATAAGTGGACACATGAGCTTGTTCTGAAAGGAATATGTGCTCAGTTTACATCTGAACAAATCCTATCTAGATTTAGAAGCAAGACATGGGAAGAATGAGGTGGTTCTACAGTTGGGGGATGTGAATGTAATACAAATTCTATAATCCTTGTATTTTCATGGTATTCTCTGTACCTGGTTGACTGTCAGGGCTGGTGAGATGCAGAGATTAAAATAAATGTTCTGTGTGTAAGCCATATGTCTTTTATGCAGTTTTTCCAGAAATATTTTTAGCAAAAGGCTAGCATAACCATTATGTCAGGGTTTCTCTGAAAGTGGACTAGTGAGGGTTTCTCTGAAAGCTATATCCAAAATCCTGATCACTAAAATGTTCCTTGTTGTCCCCTAGGTGTTTCTCAGTTACAAGTAGGGGTCCTGATCGGTCACTCAGCCTCAGGTTGCACGAGGAAGTACAGATTCTCCATGTTTCTCTCTGTCATCTCTGGAGAAGATTTGAACAGTTCTTTCTTACAAGAAGCAAAACAAGAGACTTGCAGCAATCATAAACACATGAAAATTACTCCTACACTGAACTCAGCAAGTCAGACCATGCCTTTAGGTGCAGCGTTCTTGCAGAATTGCTTATTCAGTGTTAAGAAGGCAACTCTTGAGTTGTTTTTATGTTTTCATGTGAAAATAATTAGTGTCAGTGTAAAATGTTAACTCCTTTACATTTTAACTCCTTCCCGGGAAGTTTTACTATGTGTGAATGATTATGGCATGGTGTTAAGCTACAGTTCACATGCAGGAGAACAGACATTGTACCACCCACAGTTTTAATGCCACATAATGAATGACATATTCCTCATGGGGGTGAAAAGAGGCCAGTTGTTTTAAAGCAGTAAATTCTGATCGCATTAAAACCATTGAATTTGTTAATTGTGAACATTGGTAACTATTCAGCAGTAGAACAATAGCAAAACTGTTTGCAAATAATGCAATAAACAGTAGAAGTCTTTATTAGTATTCTCCCATATTTACTGTATTCCTTGGACATATAAGGGTAGCATTTTCCCCACCTGGGTTCAGAGCTAAAAATGCAGGTATTCAAGCCTATTTTTAAAGATCAAGGCAAAGAGTAGATACATTTACATATGTGCGAATGTCTTGACACTGTCTCAACTTCCAAGTTAGAGGCAAGGACTACTCAGCACTGGCATTATGCAAGGGACGTGCATTCATTACAGTGAAGATCAGAGACCCTACCTACCACAAAGACCTCAAGAAAAAAATAATAAAAGTTTTCAGTGTGTTTTTTTTATGTCCAGAATTTCCATTTGTTGAGTAAGTTTACCAACATACTTTTTTTTTTGGACTGAATTTCAGATGTTTGTTTGACTGTATTCAATCTGTATCCTGCAGTCATTACTTTATCTGTTTTTCCTCTTCAATTTCATACCCTTGTTATTATTTTACTTTGACTAATTTGCAGTAGATTAGGAAAGCGACCTTTCCAAAGTGCAGAGGTAAACTGGGAAAAGAGCTTCAAAAGAAAAGGCTCTGTTAATCAGATTATGCCTCTTCCCATGCACTTTGGAAAGGCAGTTGTCCCAGAGGCTGTTAAGCAGAGCTGCAGGGAACGTAGGTGGCCCATGAAACAGTGGCCACTTACCAGATTTTTCCATTCTTCATTGTGTGGCTGTAGAAATGCCCTTGTAATTATTGACTTTTTTCTTTTTTTTTTTTTTTCCCTTGTAATCCACGCCTCTAATGCAGGAACCTGGATCACATGTGGTATGAAAATACAATTTTCCAAACCCCAAATGTCTGATGTGAATCAGAAAGTTTTAACCAACTTTGGATTTCCTGCTGTGCAACTTTGAGCCTAAGGGACTGCTTTATTCTGAAGCTTTTCCATGGTTCACGAAATTTCTCAGACTTCTCCAGGATCCTAAGTCTGAAAAGGACCTTAAGTCATGGGAATTTCTGAATTTGGCCGGCTTTATTTTATTTTATTTTATTTTATTTTATTTTATTTTATTTTATTTTATTTTATTTTATTTTATTTTATTTTATTTTATTTTATTTTATTTTATTGTATTTTATTTTATTTTATTTTATTTTATTTTATTTTATTTTATTTTATTGTAATAGGATTGGTTATTTCAAACTTTGCTTCTCTTAGTTTTAAATTTCCTTTTATCCAGAATCTTAATTTTCTGGAGAACAGAAACAGTGACTTCCCAGGCAACATATACATGATCTTATACTTGTTTTCTAAAGAACACAAGGAGCTATAAGAAGACTTGTTTGTGGGTCAGTTTGTTTTTATGGTTATGTTTTGTTTTTTTTTCTGAGCAGATCAGTGTTGCTACTTGCACTTGCAAATGGCAGGTAGAATATTTGGTTCAGTGCTGTAGAGATTAGAAAGGTACTGTTACATTGTTATAAGGGTTCTTTTTTTCTTATAAACTTCAGGTTTCATAAACAGACCTCTTGGTCTGTGTAGAGGGCTGGATGGACTCTATCAAAGAAATTAGATTTCCACACAATTAAAAGGATGAGATTCTAATTTCAGTTCGCTGACCTCCATACTGAAATTGTCTGACAACATATATTTGTTATATTCTCAGTAGAAGTTGTGTAAATATGTATGTGCACGCATGCACGCATATTATTGAGGATTTGACTGTCTGAAAAGTTTGGTATGCATTGTGTTCTGGTATAAAATGATCTCTGCAATTATGTGAGGTGAAAACTACCTAGTTTATGGCACTGTTCACAATCAGTATGCAGTTATTGTACATACCAATTATGTTGAAATGCACAATATTTATCTTTTCTAAATTCTATAGTGCTTTTGTATTACCATAAAATTAAGAGGTAGTCATGAGTATTAACATGAGTGTGTTGTATTTGTGGTAGATTTTAATTCATGGGTATTCTTGATATCATTCTGAGAAGTGTTTTCACGTCTCTCTAATATTTGCAAGAAAATCAGCAAATTGGAAAGTCCAGTTTAAGACAAATACAGGGATTCTGGGCATCTCATATTTACTGGTTATAAAGATAATTTATGTATGGCTTTTAGTGCATACTTCAAGCTCTCTGAATTCGTTATTCATCTGTAAAATGGAATTAATATTTTTCTTCCTCTGTCTTGTTTCTGATTATGTAAATAGACTACCTTGTATAAAGAGTTTTAAATTTCATCTGATGTTTAATAGCTATTTATATGTTTTTAATGGTATGAAATAATACAACTTTTAAAAACAAACTGACCATAAGTAGTGTTTTTTTTTCTTATTTCTCTTAGAAACTGTGAAATTTTGTGGAATTGAAGCTTTGAATAATGATACTTTACTGGATAAAACTCCGTGTGTAAAGCTTCTCAAGCCTAATTTCGATTTTTACTTCCAAAGAAGAATGGAAAAGACTGATTGGTAGTGCAGAAACCAACTGCAGACCAATACTGAGGGGCTGCTTCTGAAAGGTAGGCCAGTCAGCTTCCCATATAGTAGTGGTAATAATAATAATATTTCATATTGTGTATGAATGCCATTGACAACAATCTGCAATATCTCAGGTTTATTTAAATTTAATTCCTTTCTTTGTGCGTGTGTGTTTAGAAAGATCTAAGAAGATCTGTCTCTTCTTTAATGTTTCTGCCTGCGTCTATTTAGCACCAGAAGAGTCTTTCTTTCTGTCTGCCTTTGAACTAGCTTGAGCATCATTTACATCATTCAAAGTGTAAACAGATTATTTTTAGAAGTAAAGCCTGGATATGTTGTGAGGGTTTTTTTGGTGGGGTGTGTGTGCTGGGTTGTTTAGTTTATTGGGTGCTTACTGCGATTATATGATTGCTGTTTGTCTGAGTTCCACTAGTTTATGTGTAATAGCTTTCTCCTGACAGGTAGTCAGCAGTAACTCTGGTTCTATATTTTCGGTCTTATGGCTGTGAGATTTGTAGTTAATGAAGTAGCATAGCATTGTTCCCATTAGCAAACCATTACAGTAGTTACGTGTTTAAGAACTGCAGCTCTTCTTTTTTTCCTTCAGATTCTTAATTATTTGTGTTGTTGAACTACATAATGAAAATCAGAACACTGATGTATTTGCTCTCTGAACGCTGCTTTTCATTAAGCTTTATAGAAATGGAATCCAATTTATGGACTTTCGAAACCAGCTTTTAATGTTGACATTTTTTACTTTCCCTTTTCATACTGTGCTTCAAGCACCCTGGAAAATTTAAACTGCCAAGGAGAGGCTTAAAGAAAGTTAGTGGAAAGGAGCAGTGGACCAGGTTTCGCTACCGCTAGGCGCTCCTCAACAGCG